CGGTGGATTCTGGATCCTTCGTTGGTACGAAATCAATTTGTTGGCGGACTAGCCACCGTGTAATTAATGTTACAGTGGAAATTGAATTAGCCGCTTCGTCAAAGGTGATATTTATTGCTTGGGATATTAAGTCGACTACTTTGGGTAAATCTTGTTGATGCACGAATAGTAAATTTAATTGATTAGATAATATTTTTTCGATTGACGTATAAACAAAATGAGTTTCCATAGCATGCACGGCCGACGCTAGTCGGGTACTTAAAAAGATTGTTTGTGATATAATTGTACGTAGTGCTTCTTCATGTTCTCGTAGTATATACGCGTGTTCATTAACCATTGCTATCGTTTTGTTTAACGCAACTTGTGTATAATTAAGTTCCTGTGCTAATTTGAGTTGTCCTTTGTTAAGATGCAACATTTGCGCTTGGAAACTTTGTGCTGTTTGATCTAAGAGTCTAAGAGAGTCCTGCACTTGCCTCACGTCGGCTCTCAAATTTGCTGCTTGAATTTGATTAATTAGTGTCATCCCTGCTGCTGCTATGCCTGCTCCAATCGCGATAACTAGCGGCAGCCCCCGTTTCGTTCATATGCGAGGTGTTACGAACAGTGTTGTATCTCTTGTTGTTGACGACATTGATGGCATAATGAATACTTTTGTTGTTCTCTTATCGGTTATTGATTTGTTTGCTTCCGACGTAATTGATTGTTTTCCATGATTCTGCATGTGGGGTGAATCTGATTGACAATGAGGAATTTTCCTCTTTGCTCGTTGTGGAATTAAATAACACATATCTGGTACCATCGGGATAGTGACTGTAAAAGTAACGATTTTATCCGCTGGTCGGTATTCTGATAAATAATGTAAAATCAACCCTGATTTTGTATGCACAATATCAGTCTTTGGTATTGTAAAATTAATCAAGCCCGATACTTGCATTTTTCGTATTCCACCCATCATAAATAATGCGTGAAATATTGTGATCATAAATAACATTGGTTTGGTTTCTTCCAAATAATTATATATATCTAAAAATGTAAATATTCACATACATAGTGATTACGGGGAGCGGTGGAAAATGGGTTTAATGCAAACGTTGTAGTAATTATAGTCTTTTTTCTTGGATACATGCTTTACTTCACCTGGTGTTGTTAATCATGATTTCTAGCATGCTACATCAATGTGAGAATAATAGGCATAAACTTTTGGGTTTGTTGTCATCTGTACACAATATTTAATTTTGTGAGTGGCGTATGGAAATATATTGATCTTTTCTGGTGTTTTGTGTATTTTCCATACTTATTTGACTGATATTATAATCATGTCACTGTTGGTATCGAACTGGCAGTTTCTTCTGCCGCTTCGATGGAGGACGCCGCACCACTTGGTCAGTTGTTATCGGCTGCGTTGTAGGTGCGTCCAAAATAGATGAGTCGGAATCTTCTGTTGATAGCACTTCCCGTTGCCTCTATGACCCGGGGCGTGTCGTCTCTTGATCAATAATTAACTGCGACCTAGTAGACGAACTCGACGTTGCTGCATCGGAATCTTCATTGATTATGTCTGTTTCCATACTCGTTTCTAAATTGGTAGGTTGTGGCATTGCAATATCTGATTGTGCATCCTCCTCACTTGCATTATCTGTTTGCGTAGCAGCATCGTCTGTAATATCTGGTTGTGCATCATCCTCACTTGCATTATCTGTTTGCGTACCAGCATCGTCTGCAATATCTAGTTGTGCATCAGCTCTGATTACACTGTCGGATTGAGAACCAGAATTATTTGTATTGTCTAATGATGTAGTCTGCAATGGCTCGAAGTACACTTTCAGCCTATCAGCATTTATAGCTCCCAGATTGACGTTGTCCCCCAATCTGTGAACGATAAAAGTTGAGGGATTTAGTTGTTTGACAACTCTGCATGGACCTTGGTATCGAGGTTGTAACTTGCCCCGGACCAGGTGGTCTCCAAGTCTTGCTGTTGTAGTGGCTACCCATACCAGATCCCCAACTTCAAACCGTCTTTGTGTAGTATGTCTATCATACTTCGCTTTCTGGTTCCATTTTTCCACTTCGGAATGCTCATGAGCCAGGTCGAATGCAGAACGTAGGTTATTGATTAGATTTAGTCTATAGTTATGAACTTGCGTTTGCTCACCAATTGTAGAGGGTAGCCCTCTTATGGGATCCCCCACGACTAAGTCTAATGGTGTTCTGGGGTCTCGCCCGAACATAAAAATGCCGGAGTTTCGCCGGTTGTTTCATTAATCGATGTCCGTATGGCGAAGGCTAATTTCTGTATTTCCTTATCCCACGAGTGCGGTGATCGTTGTGCAAAAATTGCGATAAGGGGCTTCAACGTTCTATTAACGCGTTCTGACATATTGCTCTGCGGATGATAATTTGCTGTAAACTTTTGTCCTATTCCGAATGAGCGACAAAAGTCTTCGAATATGTTAGAAACAAACTGTGGACCATTATCAGATAAGATGTATTTTGGCAATCCGTACCTTGAAAATACTTCGTTGATAAGTATTTGACCTATATCCATAGACGTTGTGGTGCGCATTGGAAACAGTTCTATCCACCGAGTAAAATAATCAACGACTACAAGCAAAGATCTTTTTTGACGTGACGTAGTGGGAAATGGTCCCATCATGTCTATTCCTATCGTGTGCCAGGGTTCCAACACTTCATGTAATTGCATTGGCGTTGCCATCGGCATATTGTTATACTTGAATCGTTGACATTCTTGGCAAGCGGCTACAAAATTATATATGTCCTTCCGCATTGATGTCCAATATACTCGAGTTGATAGACGAAATAAAGTTTTCTGTTGACCTGCATGACCTGCGGTTGGATGCTCATGCGCCCATTGTAATAACTTGTGCTGCATAACTTTTTGGATGACCAAAAGATGCTTATTACCTAAGGCACGTTGGTTATAGTGTCGGCTTGAGTTCTTTATCTTGTATAATATATCATTTATCAAAACAAATGGTTGTCTTTTATCATTAACTAGATCAGGAGTCATTGTTTTTAATTGTTGAATAATTGGAATTAATTTTGAATCTGCTTGCTGTTCTTTCTTTATATCTTCTAAAATATTCGTGTTTTCCCATAAGTTAATTATTGTTTCGATCGTTGAGATTTCGTACGAATTTAAGGAATTACTGGTGTTGGTATTTGCACGTATCATTCTTTCCTCACTTTCGTTGTCTTTTGGGTTTATTTGTCCAATGGACTCCATTATACAGGTTGTAACCGGATTTCGTGACAAAGAATCTGCATTAGCATTTGCTGCTCCTGGGCGATATTGAATGCTTTCTATTTGAAGAGCTGATAGCTTCATAGCCCATCGAGCCCATCTTCCACTAACGTCCTTTGCATTCTTTAACCATTGTAAAGCCTTGCAATCAGATCTAATAAGTACTTTCGTCCCCTCTAAATAGGGCCGAAAATGTTGTGTTGCCCATACAATTGCAAGTGCTTCGCGTTCTGTTGCACTATAATTCCGTTCAGTTGGTGATAATGTTCGACTTGCATATGCGATAACAAATTTCTTTTTGTCGTACTCTTGTGCTAGTACGGCACCCAATCCATATTCGCATGCATCCAGCTCCAATATGAACGGTTCATTAAAGTTCGGTGTCTTCATGATTGGAGCATTGATTAGTTTACTCTTTAAGGTTTCAAACGCTGTCGTACATTCTGGATTCCAATTCAGATGATAGTTTCTCTCTTTCAATTGTCGTAACTGTTTTATGAGAGGTTCGGCTACCTTCGAATAATCTTCAATAAATCGCCGGTAATAACCAGTCAACCCCAGAAATGATTGTACGTCTTTGATTGTCTTTGGCTGTGGAAAATCAGTAACCGCTTTCGTCAATGTTGGATCAGGTTTAATGCCATCTTGAGTAACGATATGTCCTAAATATTTCATTTCTCTTCGACAGAAACAGCATTTCGACGCTTTGAGCGTTAAATTAGCCTCTCTTAATGCCAGAAAGACCTTTTCTAGGTCGAGGAGATGTTGCTCGAAATTCGGCGAATAAACCACGATATCATCTATATATACTAAACAACATTGCCATTTAAGTCCAGCTAAAACAATGTCCATCAAACGCTGAAAAGTAGCTGGTTCATTCGTCAGTCCAAAAGGCATGACATTGAATTCATAAAGTCCCTTATGGGTAATAAAGGCAGTTTTTTCTTTAGAATCTTTATCCATTTCGACTTGCCAATATCCTGAACGTAAGTCTAACGTTGACACGAACTTTGCTTCTTGCAATGAATCGAGTGTGTCATCGATTCGTGGTATAGGATATGCATCTCTAGTAGTCATTGAGTTTAACTTCCGATAATCCACACAGAAACGTATTGATCCATCTTTTTTCGGAGCCAAAACCACAGGGGATGCCCATGGGCTCTTAGATGGTTCAATAATTCCTTCTTCTTTCATTTTCTTTAACTTTTGCTCGATGATTTGCCGTTTTGCCGGAGCGTATCGGTACGGTGGTGAATTGAATGGTTTCGATCCCGGTATTAACTTGATTTGGTGTTGTAGCGTTCGCGTTCTGCCATTTTGTTTTTTGAAGATACCTGAAAACGCTTGAATCAGGTTCGTTAACTGCTCTTTCTGTCTTTGACTTAAATTTGTGTCAGTTAAATCCGTTTCCATCTCCGTCTTCGTTGCAGACTTAGGAGAAGATGGTTCGTTTGATATTTTCCCGGCTTGATGTAACACATTTACTTGTATCTTGTTGAGCCTTGCCATGGTAGCTAGTTTCTGTCCGGGTTGAATGATGATCGGCTTCTTCGTTAAATTTGCTACTTGAATATTCACAGATTCTTCGGGGTTAATGATGCCATTCGCCACACATGGAGTTTGTTTAATGGTGGTTATTTCATACACTGAGAATTTGTCACCTGCGCTACCGATTTTTTTATCTGGTCTTACTTGAACATCGGACACATAAAAAGATGGTAACTTAATACATTCACTCGCTAACAGAGTGTATTCATCTTCTTCTTCTCGAATGGATTTATAATTTGGTGTACTCGATTTCATCGTGGCCGAACCTTTAAAATATACCCGTTGACGGCCGCCATCTATTTGAAGATTATATTTCCGAATAAAATCATTTCCGATAATACATGGTCGCCATAAATTTGGGATAACATGAACTGTATGTCGTCGGGTGTGGTTTGCAATCGTGATTGGAAGTGTAAGGATCTTTTGTACCTGTAGGCACGATTTATCAGCCAGATGTACATCTAGGTTCACCGTAGGGTATTGAGCATGTCGACGAATGTAATAGGGTAGTTGGCAAAATAGGTTCGAATTAATTAATGTTAATGAGGCACCTGAATCGATAAGCATCTTAGTCGGCTGTTTCGCTATATTTCCGTTTACAGTAAGTGGATTTGTGTGATGAGTTTGGATAGAGTGCGTTTGAGCCGACATTTGAACGGAATTCTTTACATAGGAGCGCGTCTGGTCCGTTCGTCCAGTGCTTCAATGTTGTTTTTTGGATTTGATTTGCCTCGTTCTTGTCGATACGTTCCATATCGTGTTGGACAATCCGTTGCCCAGTGTCCCTCTCTTCCACACCTATAGCATCCTTCATAATGAACCTGTTGTTGTGACGTTAGTTCTACAGTGGTATGATTTGAGTTATTTCGGTACCTATTAGGTGTTACTTCGTTCACTTGGTAGGCTTTTGTATCCTTGAAGTAATTTTGTCGCGTCTGTTCTTGATTCGGACGTGTAGTTATTCGTCGCGAACAATCATCGCTATAATGCTTTCTGGTTGATCGTTCGACATCCACAGGAGATGATTGTTTAGATTGATTTAATAGACGTTGATTCTTGGCTTGTCGATATAAAATCTCTTCAATTTGTTGTACTTCGGCCATCAACTCGTCTAAAGAAACATTACGAGGTGTTCCTATCATGTTTAATAAATCGTTTCGCATCCGACAAAACAGATGTTTGACCAGATCACCTTCAGTTTCTTTCGGCTTTTGCTCCCTCCAAAGAGCACGAAGGCGAACTAGAAATTCATTTATAGTTTCATCTTCTTTTTGCTTACATTCATGCCATTCTTGTTCTTGTTTTGCTTTACGAACTGGTGAATTAAATTGTGCAAGAAAGACGTCCGTAAATTCAGTCCATGTTTGTGGCCGCCGATGCGACATCCGTAGTTGACAATACCATTCTAACGCTGAGTCTCGTAAAAATTGTGAAATACCGTTAAGTAATGTGGAACGATCCCACGCGTGTACTGATTCAGCATATTCTTGGACTCGGATCAAAAATTGCGTTGGACTTTCCGAGTGCTTTCCATGAAAAGCTGGAGCTGCTGATGACGGTGGTACTATGATGGAATGTTTTACGCCGTTTAGTGGAAATACCGATTGTGTTGTTGCTTCCAGTTTCGCTTCCTGTTCCATCATATAGGGGTTCGTTAGAAAAGGATGTTCCGATCTATATGTCGGGGCACAGGTGTTTGTCGAAAAAGGACGTCCCGAGTTGCCATCCGTGTTCGACGACATGTCTCTTGTTCCTGTAAGACATCCCAATTTATTCATGATACAATTCATGTTAGTGTTCATATCTCCAAGCATCTGACGCCATTGTCGTTTACTTTCTTCATACTTGCTCGCAGTTTCATCAAAATACGACGCCGTTAATGATTGAATTGATTCCATTTTCTCAAACACTGTTTGAAATTCAGTTCTGGTTGAATTTGTGTTTTGTTTACGATACTCTTGAAATGCTTTCAATATCTCGTCGATTTGATCTTGTAATCGGGTAATTTTACTTGCGTTGCTTGCCTCACCATTCATTGTTCCATCAGCGTTTGTTTGAATTCCAGTCGTATACGCATTTACATTTTGTTTCAGATGTTCACTAAATTTCTTCAATAATTCGTCCAGTTGACCTTCTACCTTGCTAATTCTCTTTGCGGTAGTTTCCTGAACTCCCACAAGTCTATTCACGGCTTCTTGAGCTGATACGTTTTCAGTAGACATTTAATAATCGATCAGAAGATTGTGTAGATATTTTTCTATTCTTTCTTCTTCCAGGTTTCTCCTGCCAGGGTCGCCAAATGTAACGAAATATTTTATTTGAGTATTGAGTCGTAGAGAAAATAATGAATTGAAATATAACGTTACGGATTCACCGATGTTTATTTGAATAAAGGTATGAACACACAATGAAGAATACAACGATATAAACGTAATAAATACGATATTGAAACGTGCACAATAATAAAAGTATTTGGACTATAATATTTCCACTGTAACCGTTGATATCTTCTGCTTAATCTCTTTTACGACGTAACTCTTCTCTTTTATATTCTGAGATAGCCTCTACTTTCTTCTACCCCAACTCGCTTCTGCTGATTTTCTTCTTCTCCGGTCGTTTTATATTCTGGCTCTTTTCTCTCTCTCCATTTTACTTTCTATTTCCGTTTATTACGAAAAAGGAAAGTACGAGCCATTTAGAGACTGACCCTCACCGATATATATATATATATGGATTACTTTGTTGATTGGTATGAACTTATGTGATTAATCCCTTTGATACTGGATCTGATGACGTATTGATAGTATCTGAAGGGTATTCTTGTTTAGTGTGACATAACCTCAAGATAATACTTTTAACACTGTCGTAATATTTAAGCGCGCTAGCTGACTACTCTAATTATCCTTCTTAAGAACAAGAAGAAATTCAACGATGAGGAAACGCAAATATATGAACAAGAAAGGGTGTATGTGCCCGTATCAAAAAGTGATAGGTGATTTTTCTGAATATCTGAGAATATAGACTATTGGCACACTAATATTTTTTCATTAAAAATTTAATCATGGAAAATACTGTCCTTTCACAGGGGTATGCTTGGGTACCTCACGTCCGAACAATAATTAGAACTGTTTGACATGCTTTTACGTGTAAGCCAAGCTTTTTTATATACCATTTGATAGAGCGAAGAAAAAGCTACATAATTATGCATAATTTATTTGATTGCAATATGGGCCACAATATCGAAAGTGTGCATGAATTGTTCTGGAGCATGAAAAGTACACTTTTCTGCTCATTATTGAGTAAATTTGATAAGAATAATTCGACTTTTGATACATGAAAACGGCATATTTTAAATCAGCATAAAACACTGAGTCGATCCATATAGTTTTGAACATTTTTTGAGTACTTTTATTTTCGTCCAAAAATTCAGCTGGGGTCCCCCTCAGGGTTAGGTCAAAAAATGAAATCGATTGAAACGCCATTCGGACTGTGAAAAACAAGTTCTGCAGTTCTTAAAAGT